TATCCTAAATACATTTGCTGAAAACTCAGACAGAAAGAATCATTGTGCAAAATTATGCAGAAATATTTTCCAACAGTGCATCGATCCACTGCTGCATTGACTCGTTTTATTTTAAGAATGCCTCCAAAAGTTATTTAATAAAGGCTATGTATTTATTGATGACAGACTCTTGCTGTAATCTGTTCTCAGATATAAAAAAACTCTGCTTTCGGAAATGCTTCTTCAAAGCAGCGTGTTCAGAACAACTAGCGTTTCAGCTTCCACACAGCGACTTATTTGTGTTGTTGGAGTGAATTTTAAATTCTTTCTGATCACTTTAAAAGCGATACATGGATTTGTTCCTGCTGCCTAGAAGCGCTCTCTTCCATCGTGCCATGTGTTGTATCCTGTTCCATAAACGGTGATGATGAATTTACAGTCGAGGCCCATCTTCAGTGCCAAAATCTTTTTAATAACCTGTGTGAGGAAATACAATTAGTGGACTCTGTGTCCTCCAAGTCATGACTGACAAACTCATTTTGATGTTGAGATTAGACAATGAAGCTGGTTTATTGTTGTACTGGAGGGTGAAATTGATGAATTTTCTGGAAGTCCTCTGATTTTACCGACAAGATTAAATCTGCTTTTGGCAGTTTGTCATCTCTTTGGACAGATTTCACCTTTCGGCTTCTTAAAGTGCGTCTAAAACGTACCTGGAGTTCCTGTCAGAAGCAGGTGCTGTAAAGTACAGTGGTCCAAATTTCCAAAGTGGAAAAAGATCAGAAATTATGGTCCGGTACAATGCCGTTATATAATCCCTGGATTCAGTTTGGATCTAAGTGCAGAGCAGAGCCTGGTTTGCGCTTGACAAACGACTGTATTTTGGGCGGCATCCAAAATGTTTAATAGAGGTATCCTGATTAGTTTCTCAGCTAGATGGAAAAACTTGAAGATTAAGCACACTTACTTACTCACTACTCCAACAAAAATGTGATTAGAATTCCAGTTGAATGAATTTTAATGACCTAAAGGTGAGTATACTTTATTTCGGGGAAGTAGCTCTATAAAGGAGGTGAACGTTTGAGAGGAGAAGACGGAGGTGTGAAACGGCAGCAATAATAAAACGGCTCTAACACCCCCGAACAAATGATTTAATTGAGTTTCTCATAACTTTTGTAAGGAGCTTACTGTAAGTCCGAAAACAATACGGGACTTTAACGAGACCCATTTTTGTACCTGAGTGAAAACCGGTAATATTTCAAATGAGAAAGCTGGAAAGCAGAAATGGTTTCTCAACTGAGTGATGGAAAGGCAGGTTCACCGGTTTGCCAGCGGATTATGATAAATCCCACACACGTGCTCGACACAGTAAAGGCTGACGCGCTTTCAAAGGCGTCACAACGGATTTATAAGTTTCATGGACTCAAACGGAGACTCCGCAATATTAACTCATGCAAAAGGTGGCACCAAAGATAATCACTCTAGCCAAAATATAACTCTATATATTAGAGAAAAAGCTCATCTGTTATGTCGTTTCAGTGCGCTTTGACAGGGCAGCGGAGCAATATCCTTCTTCAGCACATTTGGCTTCAGCTCATGTTTTGATTGATTAATGGTCGACTGTACATGTTGGCCCCGAGGATGCTAAAGAGAACATTTCTCCCATTTACGCTTTTCAAGTTCACAGAAAAGTGAGTCTGAGCTCTCTTTCGTAGTTTCAAAAGTAGCGACGGGAGTAGTGTGACTTTGGGATTTGCACGTTTTTCTTTTGCTTTGTGGTTCGGATGAGTAGGTGAGAAAATTATTACTGCTCGTATTTGTCTTTTAAATGTGTGTGGAAAGAAACTCTACAGTCGTATTATGATGCTTAGACCGACTTTAATAATCCCAGAGTGAAATTTAGGTGTTACAGCAGCATGAATGTTCAACAAAGGGGGTAAACAAAGCAAAAAGACAACAGAAAATATTAGAGTAGGGTATAAAATGAAGGTAAAATAAAAAAAAATAGTAATATTTACGCAGCGATTCAGCGATACACGATACACAAGGTAATAATTTATGATGTGTCACAATATCTGTGTAGGTAAAGAAGGAAAAATAGCCCTAAAAAGACATCCATCCATCCATTATCTATTCACCGCTTAATCCTCACTAGGGTCATGGGGGGCTGGAGTCTATCCCAGCTGACTCAGGGTGAAGGCAGGGGACACCTGGACAGGTAACCAGTCTATCACAGGGCTACACTTAGAGACAGACAACCAAGAACACTCACATTCACACCTACGGACAATTTAGAATCACCAATTAACCTCAACATGTTTTTGGACTGTGTGGGAGCCGGAGAACCCAGAGAGAACCCACGCTGCACGGGGAGAACATGCAAACTCCACGCAGAAAGATCCCAACTACCCCAGCTACCAACTGCGCCACCTTGCAGCCCTCCTAAAAAGACAAAAAGCAGGAATTATGTGTTTATTCACTGCATTCCAATTTAAATCTTGTTTCAATTACTTCTGAGTTCTAGTCAGTATTTTTCTACTTCCTGCCAAATCTGTGCAGTACCAGTACTTTTCTATCAGTATTTCTACTCATGAAAGAATCTGTGCAACACCGTTTATTTATTTGAAATAATGTTAAATCCACATCCAGAGGAATCTAGACAATCTGAAATCAAATCAAATCACGTATCAAAGGGATTCCATACATTGCTGTGTTTATTTTTTTCCACCTCTACTGTTTAATTTAAGGTTACAGCCAGAATCTGATTCGCTGAGCCTTATTTAAAGACTTGAAACTCATCCACCTACTGGAGCCTGCGCTAATTAATCTCACTTGTTTTAAGTGTAAAAAAAAACACAATTTGCCTTTTACAAGCGATAAAGTGCCGAGCTGCTTCTTGGCTGGCACCGAAACTTCCCTCGAGTCCCTCAACAGTCAGCGGTCCCGAGTCACCAGATATTATTATCCTACAAGTTTCATACAGTGAAAGCGGGGCAGGAGTATAATTTGGTCCATTCGAATGTCAGTGAATGAACGGTGACTACCTCCTCCACTCGCAGCGAGCGGAGGAGGTAGTCACTCTTTTCCACTTTTTGCTGTGGTTATTCAGTTAAATCTGATGACTAACTTGAATCACGAGCGTGCGGTATATTGCTAAGGCATGCACATTGCAAGTTAAAAAAGAAAAAAAAACTGTAAAAGTTTTGGATCGAAAGAAGAACCGGATTGAGACTTTTATCTATAGGTGCAAATACATCTGTACAAATGCAGCTTTTTATCCTTCCATTAAGCATGTATCCTATCTGCCTTGAAACCACGCCACGAGAATGCAAAGGGCTTACCCGCTGAAGGAAAACATTAGGAATCGTTGCTTTTCAGATTTCACAATTTGCCAAGCACTGGAGGAGAGAGAAAGACTAGAGCTGGGAGCAGTGGAGCTGGAAAAACATATTATAGCTCCCTTTGGGCCATGACATGTTTTATCTGAAAAACAAAGACGTTGTAGGCATACAGGACCTCGATTCTTCCTCTCAGTAATGCAGAGATGACTTTGGAGTTTTGTACACAGAATAAATGAACAGGCTGTGTTTAACCAAAGACTCCAACCTGAAATGTTTGCGGGAGACTTCAGTGGCATACAGGATTATTCATCTGGAAGACATTCATGAAAACTTGACAAAAAAAAAATGTGATTAAAGAAAGTTTCATTAAAACCAACCCAGATCCTGGTAATGAATGAAAATACATGCAGCCAAGATTTTTAGTTTGCAAACGTGGCACGGTTGAGAGGTATTTTTTTTTCTTCTGTTTTTGGCCTCAACTGCCAGAACCAAATATTTAACTTTGCAGCATGTTGTAAAAAAAAAGTCAACAGGGATGTGTTTGAAAGCTGGCCACAATAAAAACCTGTAGTTTTTAAAGGGGAGAAGCGGTTCTGAAGCAGCTCCGTCCCACTGTGAAACCACCGCTGTAGCCCGCGGGTGCTCAGTGTAGCAGCTCAGCTTCTCTTTGTTATGAAGGTGAACGCGGGCTAAGATGCATGTCTGTTGATCATCGCTCTGAAATATTGCCGCTGAGCTAAGAGGTTGGCTGAACTCCGTTTGAACTTGCTCCGCACTGACTAAAATAATTTGCATACAAGTATGCAATTGGACAAACACCAATCTTAAAAATGGGATGGAAGCATCCAAAAGAGACGGATCGCAATTTATGAATGACGGCTCATGGTCACTGTCTGCAGTGCCAAGACAGTAAATGTGCATCATGGAGCAACATGTCATGAATAATGTCGTGTTTTACCCCCCAAAAATCAGCTTCCTATTCATTAGAAACAGCAGTGGGGAGAAGTGTATGTAGAATGTAAATGTGAGCGGCATATGCATCAGTAGGCGCAATTTTCTTTTTTGGTCTGCATGAGTAGAGCAGATATATAAGTGGCTGCAAATGTTATTATGAAGTGCATGGGTCATTTAATGAGTGTCAAGAGATGAGATTTTCAATATCGAAGTACATCGCTATGAATCACCAAAGCAGTAGTTTGATCCAGTTAATTATCCCACTGAGAATGATGATGCCACCGCACAGAGGTGGGCGAGGTGAAAGTAGGTTGAGTGTGTAGTCGGGGATGTGTGGTTGTGGTTAGCCTCGTCTGAACTGCATCGGATTAAAATGAATCTGACAGATTTGAGGTGCAGAAAACTTCCGTCAATGTGTTAGCTTCGACTGCTAACATTGTGTCATGTCTTTCTTTGGACGAGACCAGTTTGTCTGCAACATAACATGAAAATCTAGTCTTTGATTTGTGAGACGCCCGGCTGAGAAAGAGATGAACAGAAACCTACATTTTCGTCAGAAGTAAACATGCGTCTCTTGCTGTGCAGCTTTGGGACATTTGTTCACTGTTTGCTCTAAACCTTCTGTTTCTAACACGCTGTTCTTCCCTCATAGTCTCCACTGAGGAGCAGCGGCGGCGAGTGGTCGCTGTCGGAGCTGGATGTTTTGCTGCTCGCCGGCACCGTCGGCCACACGCTCAGCTTGGCGGCCAGCAGCTTCGTAGAGGAGGAGCACCAAACCTGGTACTTCCTGCTCAACACGCTCTGCCTCGCCGTCTTCCAGGACGTCTGCCGCAAGTACTTCAGAGAGAAGAGAGGCTCTGGAGAAGAAGAGGAGCACCTTCTCCCTTCCAAAGACAGTCACGCCTCTGATCACCCCAAAGCTGAGATGTACTCAGAGAAGTGGCTGGCGTTGGCCACGCCACCCTTCACTCTGGTCTGCTGCAGGCTGCTGCGATCCCTCAACCAGACAGGGGTGCAGTGGGCTCATCTTCCTGACGTCGGACACTGGCTGAACAGGTTGGGTTTACAGATTGTCTAATAATGTTCAATACACATTCAGATGCAGACGCCATAAACATTCTAGAGCTGCAGAGATTCACATAGGCTCATATTACAGTCGTCCTCACATGTATTCATAGCCTCCCATTAAAGAAGGAAAACAACAGCTTCAGTCACTGAAATAAGTTGAAACTGACAAAAGTAATAGTAAGTAAAAAATTTATGAAAATCATGACATTGCTTTGGAATTGTGGTTCAACAGAAGTATATATAAAAAAAAACAACAACAAGCAAACAAGCATGATGGGACCCGTAAACTCACATTTAGTTGAACAACCATTTGAGCCAATCACTGCAATCAAGTGTTTTCTGTAACGCTCAGTCAGACTTCTGCACCTGTTGACAGGTGTTTGGATTTCACTGCTCATCAGCAAAGTGCTCTAATTTGTCTAGGACATGTTTTTTATTTATTTTTTTAAATTATTCTTTTCAACCACAACTCAAAAGCAACATCTTATTTCACTAAATTATAGTTTAGCAAATTTTTATTTATTATTACTTTTTCAGTTTCTAGTTATTTGAGTGACTATTGTGAATTTTGCCTTTTCTTTAATGGAAGGGTATGACTGTATATACTCAAAAACACAGACAATATTTAGAAAAGTAGTTTTTTTTTTAGCTCTGGATGTCACTTTACATGACAGTGGTGTCGCCATCAGTGCCCTCCTGCTCCCCCCACAGTCAGCCTCATGGCCCCAGGCTGTGAGCAAGCTGGGAGCTGCTACCATTCATAGTGAATTCTTATTTTACCAAAAGGTTTCTTCTGGCTGGAAATTAAATCAACAAGTGCCAGTACAGTAAAATGCCAAGACAGCAAAGCATTAATTTAGCGATGTCAATGCTGAATTTTAACCATTTCTACTATCGTGTCCAAAATTATTTATAGCCTTGAAATTGTTACAACTGTTCAGGAAAATGCAGTTTCTGTACCATTCCACATGGTCCTGGTAATTCCTAGAGTGTTATACATTGAGAACAACAGGTGCAGGAGTTCTCCAGTAAGTTTCTAGTCCGGTAGAAATCATGGCTAAAACCAGAGAGCTTAGTGAGCGTGTTATTAAGGTGCAACTTTTTCCTGAGAGAAAGCTGCATGTTGTGGATGCTCACAAGAAGAGTAAAAGCTGTAACGCCATATCCAAGAGTTTTTAAGTGCCAGTGGCCACAGTTAAAGCATCATAATAAAGTACAAGGAGTTCAACACTGTGAAACAGCTGAAAGGGTGTGGTAGGATGCCAAAATTGACCCCGTCGTTGCCAAGACCGATAGTGTGAGAGGCCAAGAAGAGTTCCGGGATCATCACCAAGACCAAGAGCTGCTGAATCTGAGCACTTCTGGAACCAACATCTATAGCAGACACTCCAGCAGACACCGAACAAAGCTGGTCTCCACGGACACGCACCAAGGAAAAGACAACAAAGCCCACGTGGACAAAGAAGAGAGCTTTTGGTCATCGGGTCTGTGGTGGGATGAGTCAAAGATGGAGTTGTTCAGAAACATGAAGGTGACTTTTCTTTAGTGGAAAGAAAGGAGACGCATGCAACAACAAAAATACCAACTGCAAACTCGGTGTTGGGAATGTAATGCCTTGTGGGTGTTTTTCAGCCAATTGGCCAGACAGCCTTGTCAAAGTAAACAGCATCATGACGAAAGAGGACGACATTGTGATTCTGGAGGAAAACATCGGGCGGTCTGCAGACAAACTTGTCCTTGGGCAGCATCGGAGCTTCCAACACGATCTGAAACATACAGTCAAAGTGGTGACGGAATGGTTAACAGCAAACAACATCAAACTTCTATTTTTTTTTAGCAAGAATGAAAAAACTAAATGTAGAAATAGTTTAAATTTTTATGTCCAACCTGAAGTAACTTTTGGTCAAATGGAAATTCGCTGTGGGTCAAAAGTTGGCTTTTTAAAGGCAGTGTATTGAGCTGTAAACACTATCACTGACTTGTTATCACTTTATAAAGCTGATGTGTTTGCAAGTTACTGCCTGTTTCCACATTTGGCCCACACAGAGCAACATTAACATGCATTTGGAGTCGTGTTTCTGGCCATTTAATGATCTTTTTATTGTTTTTTTTTAGCTCAGCTTTGGTCTCCTCCAACGAGTTATCTGGCTCTTTAGCTGCTAAATGCTCAAACACTTGTTGGTGCTGAGCAGGTAGTGGGTTCATCAGAGCTGTCTGACTGATCCAACGAGTAAAGTTACATGATGTAAAACCGAAACACTGATCTAAAAGATGCTAACAAAACTCCAGACAGCTGCGGGAAATCGTGGGGGTTCAGTTGGTTACAAGTGACGGCTTTGATCTCACACAGACATCTTTTCCGCTGTTAACACATGAATATGGATTTGGGCATCTTTAACTCGGGGAGGCGACTGATGCTCCCTCGGCTAGCCTTCTGCTGGCTCTTGGCTCGTGAACAGGGATTGTTTTACAAGGCAACAAAGCGAAGATAGAGCGTTAGCAGCAACAACTACTTGGTTGATTCAGAATTATCTTGGCAGCGTTTTGATTCCTAAGATGTTCCTCATGGGAGAGACACACAACGCTATGAAATAGCAAAAAAAGATGGAGTGGTGCGTCTCCCGCTTTAGTTTTCTATTAATCAACACGACAGAGCTGGATGCTTAAAGTGATAATCCTGAAGTTCTGAAGTGCATCTAAAAATCTGTTAAATGCACACACAGAAATTCCTCCGAGTGCGCCGACTTCTATCCCTTCTTGCTCGACACAAAGTTTACAATTTTATCCTCGCTGCTGCTACGGCTCCACAACACCAGCATGCTGTTTGTTCTGACAACCGATATGTAATGTGGGGTTGTAATGAACACGGGGCTGCCAGCGGAGCGGAGGACTATTAGTCTTGCGTTATAGTGTGTAGTATATTTGTCTTTTTTTTTTTTTTGTACGTGGATATGTGGCAACATGAAGGTGACAGGATATAACAAGAACTCATTTTCAACCCCAGCTACACACGAGGGCGAGAGGCAAGAAAAAAAACGTGTGGTAAACTCCAAGGGTTCAGGACGAATCCAGCAGAATTAAAGGCTTCTTTCGCTGTTTGAGGGCAGAAGTTGAAAAGTCACATGGGGAAAAATTCATTTTAAAAAGGCAGAGATACAAAGACAATGCACTCAGTAGACTGGAATGCGATGCAGCCACAAGATTTTCAGTCTTCATTTGTCTCCCCGCCTACACAGAAGAGTAACAGATCAATGCAACAAGTTCACTGCTGTTCTCTGGGGAAGATTGAAAGCTATGGGAAATATAGGATGTCGCCCACTGTAGTAGACATAGTGAGAGTGGCTGAGTAAAATATATATATATATATAGAGAGAGAGGGAAATTACACTAAACAGTGATTTGGTCATTTAAAAGAAGGTATAGAGTGGAAACACAAGGCTTTTCTTGTGACACTGAAAACATTTTAAATGTGTTTTTCTGCCTGACAAGTTGACAGGACCTTCCACTTAGCATTTTTTTTTTTTTTTTAAGATTCAAGAAGGGAAAATAGCCTTCTGTGATTGCTCAGACTGTAGGAAAACTGTGATTTCTCCGTAAGACTGTGACTGTTTCAGAGCCATTAATATTCTAACAACAGCACGGGGCAGGGGGATTATAGTTTGTTCTTTAACATGCATCACATTGTGGAATAGAGATGTGGGTTCTGACCTTTTCCCTGTCCGGTGTTGCCCTTTCTTCCTACCTGCGCTGGCTGTTGCTTGGATAATGAGATCTAGGTTGCTTTATGCCTCATCTTGTCTCAAAATACCCAACTTCCACCGCTGTCTGATCCAGCCAATGGCTAAATGCACAGCTTCTATTCAACTTTGATATGTCCTTTGAGGTCTTATTATTTCCTGTCTGTGTTCAGTGTGGCGTAATTTCAGACTGTATTGCCTTAAATCCAGTGAACAATTGAAGATCCGTGCCTTTTTAAAATTTAAACTGATGCTGGAGGATATGACTGACAGTGTTTCATCTCATCTCTGTTGCTCAGTAAATACTCAACGTTGGTGTTCAACCTTTCTTTTTTTTTGATTGATTAAACCGAGCATATCTTTGCTCATCCTATATTTAGATTTAAGTCAAGCAGTTTGTGAAATTGCTGTACATAAACATGATAAACGTGAATGAATTTCAGCTTGTAAATCCAAAAGAACCTCTTTGTGTTGGATTGCAGGGTGCGTTTTTTCACCCCATGCCTGTTTGTTTCTTTCCAGCTCCGAACACAGGATGGTCCTCTCCCTGCTGTCAGCATTCTGTTTGGTTCTTATCTACCTTCTGGTTCAAAGACGTTGCTCGTGGGTCTCCAAGGTTGCCCTCGCCCTCGGACTTCTGGGTGTCTACAGCTACCGGGCAGCTGTCGGCAATGTCTTGTTTCCCTGGCAACACGCTGGCCGAACTACGTCCAAGTAAGTTTTTTTTTGTGTCTCTATAATCTCATTTAACGTAACGGTTGGCAAACTGCGCTCCCCGGATGCTTGCGTGATTTAAAGTTGTCATGCAGACGAGCGTGCAGGTTGTGATGCTGCATGAGACAAACACTCGACAAACATGATGAACTGCTTTTTTTCTTTGCTTTACATCTACCTACAGTAAATCTCCGTGACCCAGTGTCCCTTCAAGTGCTAAAAAACGTCTTCCAGTGTCCTAAATTAAATTAATTGCATCGGAAGGGTGCATCAACCAATCTATGGTTGTTGATTTAAATTGGCAGCCAGTATGAAGTATCGACAGGTCTTCTCTCCTCCGACACATCCCCACCCAGCTCTCCGGTCTTCTGCAACCGATGAAACCATTTTCACAACACAGAGCAGTAAGCCAGCTAATCAGAGCACTAAGTATAGAAGAAACATACAGCCATGCACGATACTGGAATCACTTTTCTACTAAGTTTTGCAAATTAGCTTTTCATTTGGCTCGAAAATGAGCTGTCTTTAGCTTTCATGACTGAAATACAAAACCCCGCTTTTCTCCTTTCTCTGCTTTTTGTGCAGTAAAAGGTCTCAAGATGTGCAAAATACAGTACACGAAGCAAAGTTCACATTTGTGCTTTTTGAGTAAAGTGTCTCAACAACTATTGAATGAATTGCCGTGAAATTTGTTGTAGACATTCGGGCTTGAGTATGTAATTTATTCCAGAGGCGTTTTTTTTGTTGTGTTTGTTGAAAGTCTCTTTACTTCCAAGCAGCAATCAATAAATCAGCTGCTGTGATAATAAAAGGAAAAATATCTCTTATCTGTGGCAGCCACAGGCCTGTAAAAGCCTGCCCAATCATTGTATTTGGTTCACATGAGATGATTTAATGGTCTTCCTACCTGTCTTAAGTACACACCTGTCCACCTGCACTCCAGCCTTGCACTCATTGTCTGTCGCATGAGACTTCCACAAGGCGAGGTGGACGCATTACTAGAGCAGCTCGTACAGGAATGGCTGAGTGCAGGTAGACTGTACAGTTTCACTTGAACTTACAACATTCTGCTTTAATAACAGGCTGGATAATTGCATCCGTTTGTATTTGTGCGTCTTTTAGTGGAGTGTGTCGTCCTCCAGATAGGTCCTCTAGATAGGTTTACATGTATCTGTGTACGTTTGTGAACAAAAGTTTACATACACTTATAAAGGCCAAGTATGTCATGGTAGTCTTGAGTGTCCAATGACCCCTATAACTCCTAGTTGTCTGTGATTAAAGCACTGAACTCTCACAAACAATCATGCATTTTGTTTGACTGGGATAGACTCCAGTCCCCCCGGTGACTCTAGTGAGGATTAAGCTGTGTATAGATAATGGACGGATGGATATTATAGGTCTTCTTGAACTATGACAAGATCTACTGGTTCAAAAATATACTAACAGCAGAGCTAATATTTAGTTAAATGTCTCTCGGCCCTTTTCACCTCAGGTGCTTTTGGTTTCCGTCCACAAGCTTCCGGCTGTATCTTTGACAGGATTATTGCTTTTCAGCTAAACTTGTTGGTTTTCTGACGAAGACTAACAGTCCACAAGTTCTCAGTGATGTTTAGATCAGGACTTTGGGAAAACCAGTCGAAACCCCTGATTGTAGTCAGATTTAAACATTTCTTTACCACTTTTGATATGTGTTTGGGGTCATTGTCTTTTTGGAACACTCAACTGCATCCAATACCGAACCTTCTGTTGATGATTTTATGTTTTCCTGAAGAACGTGGAAGTAATCCACATTCTTAATTATCCCATTTATTTGTGTAAAGCACTACTTCTACTGGCAGCATAATACTGCCACCACCATGCTTGATGGTAGGTTTTGGCGTCTGGAGTTGAAGGCCTCACCTTCTCTCCTCCAAACATTTTTGTAGACATTATGGCCAAATAGCTCTCAGAACTTTCTTACAGAAGCCCCTGTCCTCCTGATCATGGCGGTGACACAAGTGACCATGTACTTTATACTTACAAATAGCTATTTGCCAGGTTTGATTTTGGGATCTGTAGCTGCTGTAAAAGGTCTCCAAGTGACTCCTGACTTGCTCAAATCAATCATTAGCTTCTTCAGATCTGTGCTGAGCTCCTCAGACTTTCTCACTGTAATGTTTGTGGCTGATTCTAATGAGTGGATCAAATGGGCCCTATTTAAATTGGCTCAAAGAATTCAGCAGCTGTAGTCAATCGTAATCACAAGAATTTAAGAGGTCATGCTACTGAGAAAATGTGATTAATACAGCTTTCTACATCACCAAAACGGATTGTTCAAGTTACTGTCTATGTATTTTTGGCCCAGCAGATTCTGTCATATTCCCAGAAGACCTATAGTACATCTGTGGAAGAATTAAGAGTCGTAGGAGTCATTGTAAACTCAAGACTGCCACGATGTACATGGTCTTTACAAATGTATATAAACTTGTTGTGACAGTTATATATGTTCACCATCTACCTGCGTTGTAGTCTACTTTGGTGCCATTTGATGGTAATTTTTTTATGTTCATCTATACTGACTTTAAACAGGACGCTTTGGAAATGTGGTGATGCAGCCTATTTGTGTGTTTTTATACATGTACATATTCAATGCACTGCTTCTTCTCCACACCACGACTCTCTCTCATGGATTAGTCCTCCAGCTGTACTCAGACGGTAGCTGCCTACTGTAACTTTAATGTTTCCCACTGGATGAATTGTAATCCCCCTACCCGGCTAGTTAATGCTGTATTTATGACCAAATACTTGCAAAACTACAATACCACCGACCTCACTTGTGCCCTGAGTTCGGCACTAATTAGTCCGCTTATACATTAATGTAACATCATAAATTTGTAACTTAACATGAACTGGAGAAAACCCATGTGCATGAAAATGTGAGCGAGTGCAGAAACACTTAATATCAGATGATGTGGAGCCGATCGGGCTCACATTGGATCAGAGCGTGAATGTGTAAATGTGGTCTCTTTGGCGTAAGAAGAAATCTGTCTACCCCAAAAGTTCAGGGGTCACCTAACCGTCCTTGTACGAGTCAAGCTATGAAAGCTGTTTGTAGTATCAGTGGAAAATAAAGTCCTTACAGCCGCATTGTTTGCTTGACAAGGGGGTCATATTTGTTGACAAGTCAGCCAGGCGCGTCTAACTAATTTCCATATCGAGATCGAATCAAACTGCAGGCACAGCTTAGATAAAAAAAAAACTCACGATTCAAAGCATTTGTATTGAAACAGAAAAGGATGCAAAGCTTCAGCATCAAGGAATTTTGCCACCGACCGCGGCTGCCTAATAAGGACGGTGATTTTCCCGGCTTTCTTATCTCGCTTCTTAAAACGGTCCTCAGTTTCCCTTCGCTATCATTAAAAGATAAATCTCGAGAGGAGTTTGGACGTCTTAAACCTGCAAATGCATTGAAACCCTTCTGGTGTGTCCCCGAGGGGAAGAGTCTCCCCTCCCAGACCCTCACATCCTAATCAAGCATACTAGGTGCATAATCATGTTCATTTTACACAGGCGGTGATAAAGCAGTTCATCCGGTGCCAACCCTTCAGTGCCCTGCGCGTTTAGGATATTTTGTATGTCCTTGAACTCAGGCTGCATAATGAAGAATCATGTTAATGCGGGCCTTAAAACGCATTATCACTCTTGCAGACGGACGCCTCAGTACATTGTGTCTTATAATTTAGCAGGGTCTATGTATAATAGTTGTTGTTAGCATTGACCAAAAAATAAAATAAATTGAGAGTCGTGCAGAACCTAAGTGTTGTAATTTTTCATTCTGCAGACTGGAGCTTGGCACAGAGGTATCCGCTACTAACCCCTGTCAGGAAATAATGAGTGTTCAGGAGTGCACACGATTCTCCTGTCTAGTTTTCCTGACCTCCCTTCATCTAGCACCAGAACCTGGCCTTCCCTAACCTTTCCTGTTCTCCTTGGCAGTCTCTCCTACCTGCTCACCTAATTAAAAGCTCAACCTCTCACCCTTTACCCGCACAAAGACACCTGACTGAAGCCATGTAGGGACTCGGGGCTCCTTTTGACGAACTTTATGATTGACGGGGTTGACGGTTGACCCGGTCCTTCAGCTTTTCCTTCAGACCTCAGCGCATTGATCTTTACAGTGCTCCGCCTGGAGGGTTTATTTTAGATTTAGTTCACATTCTCGGCCTAAGCTCCTTACAGAGACAAACTTTAGTCTTGGGATTTATGGTAATAACAACGCCGTCTATCTCAGGTGCTGCAATTTGATCGGCCGGTAAGAAGAAGCTATATTTGTGCAGTTATTCTAAAATAGTGCTGTTTATTCGTGCTGTACTTCCAATGGTTGTGCTGTAGGAGTCAAATAATTTCCCCTGGGTCTCATTTGTTTGTTTTGGTGTTTTTGAACAACATCTAGTCAAATTTCTGGTAATTTTAGACGCAGCATCAGAACAGTTTCTGAAATTAAAAAAGACAGACATGTTTTCACTTGTAATGCGGAGGTAAGAAGGAACAACTTTGTCTAATGACCCTTTTTAAAGTTTCGGTCTCCTCGGTTTACTGTTTCTTTGTGTTTTATCAGAGTAAACCCCCCTGACACCTCCCCTGGCTTCCCTCCTCGCCTTCCCTTTGTGCCAAATGCCTAATTGCGCCGTTGCATCTTTCAAAACGGCTAATGGGGTTGAAAACAGGCAACGCTGCTCGCTTTAAAGGGTCTCAAAGAGTTAGGTGTATTGATGTCACTGTGGATAGAGTTTGTCTTCTTCTTTCTGTTGTTTTTTTTTTTTCCTCCTCTCCCTCTCGTGCACACACTTCTTTATGGCATCATCAGAAAACAACCTAAAAATAGACAGTCAGCGACATAGTTTGTGTTAACTGGATATTGAGACGACGACGACGATTCCAAGCTCAAAAAACAGGATCCAAAAAGGCAAAATAAAAGATGAAGCTCAAAGAGTTGCTCCTGTAGGAAGTAGCTCGACATC